TTGCGAGATTCGAACGCAGGACCTGTTGGCCTCGCGCGAGAATGAGTAACCTCTAAACTACTGATCCGGCATCCAATGCTGTTAATGTATAACTTCAACCAATCCACAAAATTCAGCAACACATCCACCATTGTCTTCAGCGAGTTAATATTTAATAACAGACTCGGTTGAACACCACTGGTCACTGCTCTGAAGGGAATAAAAACTATGGATTACGTTATTTGAATATAATCAATTCGATGCAATTGAGTTACAATCTCTATAAACTTCCTTATATTACTACCAACCATGTAGTAGCTAATGATTGGCTTCAAGATAGAATTCCTGGAGCTCTTGTGAGCAACCGCGTAGGATATGAACCAGTTATCCATCGAAAACAATGGAAATGGTTGTTTAATACCCTGGATTGATTAGACCTAGACATTAACATCACTGGAAAGCGGCCCAGTAGTTTACAGGTTAAGTGTTGTAGTGTGACGTCGAAAATCTTATATAAGAGTCCCTGTGATAGGGAGTCTGATCCCGAGACGAAACTGAAGACCATTGTTTGCAGTTTTTCAATGATGGTTTAGTTAGATCACTTATCGGTATAAACTATGAAATTTCAAAAATTTACGACAATCAAGCTTAGGTCTCTTGCCGAATTGCCCGAATATGATATCTATTCAATTTATACTAGCGAACTGTCATATGTAGCAAAATTGCATTTACCTAATCAACGAAGCTACGATCTACCACCTTTAAGTTGAAGATATAGCTTCAGACAGTAGTAATTATTAGTATAGGTTTGGGCAGATTGTTGAATTTTTTTATAAAGATCATGAACCAATCATTGTTAGAACACAATTGAAAACTTGTAATAATAATAATCCATAGATTTTGCACAGTTCTATTAAATGCTATAAGTTTATTGTGAATCGAAAATATTACTTACTTACGGCTGTTGCTCTCAATCGAGCATAGGCCAACGACCACCATTCTCCAACACACTCTCTCCACCGCATTCATTCCCACTTCTATCCAATTCTTGTTCATTCTTACCATGTCTGTCTTCATTTCTCAACATAATGTGTTCTTTGGTCTCCCTATCCTCCTTCAGCCTTGAGGATTCCATGTGAGGGCTTGCTTTGTGACACACTTGGATGGTTTCCTCAATGTGTATCCTATCCACTTACAGCCCTTCTTCCCGATTTCTTTCTACACTGGGATCTGGTTTGTTCTCTCCCACTATAGCTTATTGCTGATAGTGTCTGGCCAACGGATCCGAAGTATTTTGCGTAGACAACTGTTGATACACACTTGTATCTTCTGGATTATAGATTTCGTAGTTCACCAAGTTTCCGCCTCATACAGTAGAACTGTCTTGACTTTTGATTTGAAAATTCTGACCTTGGTGTTGGTTGACAGAGAGTTGCTTTGAGTTCCAGATGTTCCTCAGTTGTAGATATGCTGTTCTTGCTTTACCGATCCACGCCTTCACATCTGCATCAGATCCACCCTGTTCATCAATGATGCTGCCCAAATATGTAAAGGTTTTTACATCTTCCAAATCTTCTCCGTCAATTGTGATTCGTTTGGTGCGTGTTGTGTTGTAACGGAGAATCTTACTTTTCTCTTTGTGTATGTTGAGACCTACTGCTGCTGAGGCTGCTGCTACACTGGTCGTCTTCTTCTGCATTTGTTGGTGCGTGTGCGATAGAAGAGCGAACGCATTTCATTTAAATCATTTTGTTACATTCTAAATCCATATTTTACATTGAACATTATGTAAATCTTTCTCTCATAGCTTTCAAATTGTTTCATTAATAATTACTACTCAAACTATTTTCGAAATTTACTAAGAAAACAATTGTCTTTCCATTACATTCTAATTCATTTATGTTTTCAATTGGAATGAAAACGAAACAACACTACTCAACATGAAATATTAATGAACTAGCTATTTACCATTATCTAATTGTTGATAATTAAATCTAGCTTAATACTAACTACTACTGTAGTGAACAAGAACACCAGTGGGTACAATCGAATGCATTTGACACGCAATTACAGAGCACTTCAATAAAATCTGAGAACCATATAGTAAATCATTAATTTGCAAAATATCAATCTATCATATCAAACTTGACTGTTCCTGTTGTAAACATTAATCCATTGAATCACATTTTATTGTTCATGCGTTTTCATACCAATTTTTTTCCATTCCTGTCGTTTCCTTCTCGATCATCTACCGACATGCATTCTATTTCCTACCATCATTATATACCACTTATGTGAATATAAGTAACCCACACCACACTACTACTATTACTACTACTACTACTACTACTACTACTACTACTACTACTACTACTAATACTACTACTACTACTAATACTACTACTACTAATACTACTACTACTACTAATACTACTACTAATACTACTACTACTACTACTAATACTACTACTACTACTAATACTACTACTACTACTAATACTACTACTACTACTAATACTACTACTACTACTAATACTACTACTACTACTAATACTACTACTACTACTAATACTACTACTACTACTAATACTACTACTACTACTAATACTACTACTACTACTAATACTACTAATACTAATACTAATACTGATACTAATACTGATACTAATAATAATACTAATACTAATAATAATACTAATACTAATACTAATACTAATACTACTACTACTAATAATAATAATAATACTGCAACTACTACAAAGAAAGTATTTAATTATATTCATTTAACAGTAGATTTCTCTTATTTTTAAATTGTTTAACCAGTAAGAAAGCTTATTGGTTACCAACAAGAAATCATATTTTAAACTAAATATCTGTATACGGTACTCAGACTGTGGGTTTTTTTGTATTCTCTATGCTTTAAAGCCAAAATTTTATCTGTTAAGAAAAAGAGTTTTCTTTTTTCATTAGTCAAATGTTGCGTGAGATGACAGAAATTTTATAACTTTATAAATGAATAAGAATATTGAATTCTTGCTTGTATATATTTATATATTGGAATGTAGACTAACCACTATTGAAGAAACCATATAAATTTTAAAGAAAGTAGAAAAGGTAATAATGTAGAAAACAGATAGAATTCATTCAATAATGAAATACATCATGTAGTGTAATAGATAAATTGTTCCTTTGAAGTTTACAATTCATTCATTTATTCAACATGTCATTAGCTTTCTTGAATATTCAAGAAGAACAAAAACCAAACAAAAACGATCCACTTTCTGACAAACAGTTGAATATTGTACAGAGAATAACAAAGAATCTGATGTATTAATATTGTCTTTGAAAATAATACAAATGAGTACAAATATTAACCTTCTTAGTATCGTTTATGCAATCGAATTTGGACTAATAAATCAAATTAAATTTCATAGAGATTTATTTAATCAGCATGATTTACTTCTTGTATTCTCTTTGATGATCGTAAAAAGAACCAACTTTAGTGAGCTCAATTTTTAAAGTTTTCCATTCTTTTCTAATCAACCACTCTTAATTACAATGAATGATACAATTAAAATGTAATAGATGTTAGTGACTTTTATGTATATTTTAGTGTTTGAATTCATAAGTTGATCAGAATATGGACCATCATTGAAAGCCTGAAAGTATTGGACGCCTGTTTCGTCCTAATATGGGACTCCTCAACAGTGTACATCCACGATCTTGCACGTGGGATTGAAATCAAGAACATTCGGTCTCGTGAGCCAACTCTTAATCTCTAGACCACTGAGCCGGCATACAACAGTGGTAATTTCTAACTTCGATCGATCCATGATTTTGAGAAACTCTTCATCTATTGTCTGAGTTGAATAACTGTCTCCATTCTACACTGATTGTACTTCACTGTTAATTCACAAGGTCACATTTATATTTCTTTATCTTGTTGACTGAAATAAATCTTTTGCGAAAAACAAAGATTTTCACACAGTAAATAATAAACAAAAAGGATATGGTTTGCTTTAAAATGTATATATGGGACGTCCTACATCTCAAAGTTGATGTTTACTCTGGGACTCAAACCCAGTACCGTTTGCTTCAAACGCCATCACGTTATCCACTCAGCTACTCAACTCTGAGGTACAGGTATATCCATCTGACGAGTCCAAAATAGGACGAAACGCGCGTCCTGGATTCCTCTGCTAGCCACTATCCATCTTTACTTATACACCAAAATGTTTCCGATCAATTTAGTATCTTTTGAGTAAATTTTATATTTTCGAATAGTTCCGGATAACACGTTCAAATGAATTTAAAAAATCACAACTTAAAATCAGTCGTAGAGTTTTATTGGCTTACGAGATCTGCTTGCAAAACATGAGCGATAACACACACAAATAAGCGTTAATTGTTCAAATCCATGTTTTGTACCTTTTATAAAATCAGAAACTAAACTAGTCAACTTTACTATAATTATTTACTAAGAGTAGCGTTTTTTGACAATATAATTAAGATTCTGAATAATTATCAGAAGGGGTTTTTGTGGATATTTTAGTAAATTTATAGTTGAATTCATGAGTCGATTGAAGCTAGACCACCATGGAAAACCTGGAGGCACTAGATGCCGCAAGCGGCATCGTGGATGCACACTGATGAGGAGTCCCATATTATTACGAAACGGTCGTCCAGTTCTTTCAAGTTTTCCATTATGGTCCAGCTTTAATTGACTGCTGAATTCAACTATTTCAAGGAATGAACTGTTCTGTGTTTTTATGTGTTGTGTTTTAAATAGTTTAAAATATATCATTTCCATGAATATTTTGATTTATCTAATAGTTCCCTTAGTTCAAGAAAAATATTCCAACGTATTCAGGAGAATTATCTTTTGTTTGATAGTCACACTGTTACTGTATCGAAGTGGAACTTATAAAATCTCATTCTACGATATAATACTCGTATAACTTTCATTTAAAAACTGTTAACTAAAACGCTCTTCAAATTTCTTCGTTGCTATCTTTTTCTAGGAATGCTTGGATTCTGTAACAGAAGCCTGGGGTGTAAAAGTTGAAAGAGTAGAAATTAAAGATGTTCGTTTACCTATACAACTTCAGAGAGCGATGGCAGCAGAAGCAGAGTCTGTCAGAGAAGCCACTGCTAAAGTTATAGCGGCTGAAGGTGAAATGCGTGCTTCTGGTGCTTTAAAAGCAGCTGCTGTCGAAATTAAACAACATCCAATTGCAATGCAACTGCGTTATCTTCAAACAGTCAACAGTATTTCATCAGGAAAACAATCGACAATTATTTTTCCAGTACCCTTAGATTTAACTTCACTGTTTCGGGCACAACTTGATAATATTTTATGCGGGAATATTTTCAAAAATGTAAACTTTAAAGCAGATAATAAACTTGAGTTTCTTAATATTAATAATAACGATGAGGATAGTAATGAATATGAAAATGAACAAAAGGAAGATTTGTACAAAGCAACCGGCCAAGAAAACATTTTAACAAGTTCCTTGAAGTTACCATATCAAATGTCAACTGATGAATTTATGGAGTCTCTATCACAAATAGTTTAAGCATGTAGTTTAAATTCTACAATACTAAAATCTGTCAATTATAGATCAATTCTTTGATATTCCCATGTTTTATACGATCCGCCTTCATTTCATAATTTAGGGTGCCATGTCTTCATTGTATATAGTTCAAATTCCTAATAGAAATACAGAATTTCTTTTTAAATGTTTATTTCGCATGAACGATATATATTTTCTTCTTTCACAACTAGTTAATGTAGAAATAAATATTCTGTAAACAAACGTTTTCATTTGTTTGATTGTTTGAACATCTGTTCAATTATGACAGAATGAAGAGGGCATATTTGGAAAAATAAATTCTCATCCTCAAGGCGTATCTGAAATCTTTGATGGGACTAATGATTCTATCATGATACAAACCAACATTAACCAGTATTGGTTAGAGAAGTTACGACAAAGTTATAAGGAATGAAACTGAACTCCGGACGATTGAGTTTTAACAACTGGTGCTTCACTCAGAGAGATTCCAATTTCGTAATAAGTACCTGACATTGCTGATAATATAAGTTATTTATTCTACTTCAGCATGTTTTACATGAAACGTTGTTCGTTGAATCCAAATTTTTTTAAAATTCTGATGTTAATGTTACAATACGGAGGACAAAGAAGGCTTTTGTCTAAATGGAGTAGTTTGTAGATTACCTGGAGCCCAGGATACCCCTTCAAACTATCAAAGGAGCTCTAAAAATGAATTTTCCTATGGATATAACTGATGTGCGAATCAAATGTTTTTAACCTCTTCTCCCTAAGTAACGGTTTCAAAAACTGACAACTGACATCAAAGACTTGATAAAAGAATTAAGATATTAAGGATCGAAACTGGGAGAAAATCATAAGGATAGTATATGATACAACTATGTGATACCGTCATATATCCGCTTGATTATTTTGCAGCCTACTGACTTGGATATATTTTATGCCAACTAATCAATCCTTATACATCCTTTGGATAAGGAAATACGGTGTTGTTTAAGATTAACTATGTAAGGGATTCATAACATAATAATGATTACTACGTAATTTCTTCACTAGTGTATTAAGGTACAATCATTTGTGTATGCATTTTGAAGCATCATCATCAGCCAGGAACTTTCCGATTTATCTCAAAAATGATGCTAACAAACCTGTTTCGTTAAAAGACTGCCACAAACTGTTTACGATTCTTGAAAAGTTACAAGTGAAATTGCAGAGTGAAATCTCCACATCTAAAAGTACTACAACTCGGTTAACGAAGACAATAGGATTACATTATTGAATGTAAGATATTATTTGTTTAATATATTGAAGCAAAAGATCATTTAAATCGAGGATTATTACTTAACTAAGATTATTTGGATTCATAGTGCTAGTTAAAATTACTGTCAAAAACACAATGTTTAAAACGACGTTGAACAGATTCTAGTCCGAGTTTATAATCACTTGAATACTAATGATAAGAATTACACACCTTTGTGCAATAAACAAAAGAGAAACATTATTCTTGCAAAGGCTACTCAGTACACAACTTCGCCTGTAGCTTTTCTAGGGTTACCGGCAGCCCCAAGCCCGGGTAAAAAACAGGGGAATTGAGCAATGGGTCAGCAACCGTAACCCGTAGAAAACAACCTTGCTAAAAAGACGCAAACCAGAGTGAATAATTTAAACCTCAGAATCGAAGTATCTTCTGTTAGTAGAATTATGACGCCTCATGATGAAAGTCGAGATATTTCGGAAGCCACTAGATCCTTTCCCCTTTCTAACAACCTGAGCAATAATTAATACAATTAGTGTAGAGAACGCTGATGGGAGGCCTATGCTCCACCACGAGGGGTAACAAACGTAAGTACGCAGTATACAACTCAAAGGTTAGTATAACTCAAATGTTTACATTGTAATTTACATAGGAAAAAACAAATTGTAATAAATTACCAAAGTGATGAAATTAATGACCCACAAATCTTGTGAATGGACTGATAAAATAAATCTCCTTTTTTTCATTATTGTGAAATTCGTATGAAATTAATATATTATTATATAGTGATTACTATATCTCTGTAGTATGACTATCGTATGATTATTATATGACTGTTATTTGATTATAATCAATTAATAAAGCCTAAGGCAATGCTTTTGAAAGGCTATGGTATATATCAGTTAAACATATTCACATAAATGACACATTTATTATATTACAAACTGATGGATAGGATAGGTTATTAAATTGTTATTTATATTCAGGTCAAATCTTTGTCAAAGTCAATGACACATATATATATGGTTCCAAGTAGCAAAAATTTACAAAGCATCTGAACTGGTTAGAATTGAATAAGAAAAAAAAGTCATTTACATAAGTAAATGAACAACTATTCTCATATGAATTAATTGTCTAAATGTTTTGATTTATGTTTAGGACTAAAACTAATCAGTCTTCTTTAGCAGACATATCCAGCTGATGAGTTTAAACTAAGATGAAACATGTGTTCTGGATTCCATTTCTAACCACCATCTAACTCTAAAATTATACTCATAATTTGGAACCTATAAATGATCTTAGGTTGATAATCAGTGGAAATTAAGGAGCACTAGACAGCTATAGGACTCTCCAATAGTGTGCATCCATGAACTACCACAGGAGATCAAACCTACGTAGCCACTTTAAATGATCTGAGCTGAATGCCTGTCTTACAGCCTAAATGGTTGAATTCAACTGATCATGGCTTCAAAATAAAAATGCGGGAACTGCACAATAAAGCGGTATCATGGATGTGCACTACTGAGGAGCCCCATGGTAGGACGAACCATTCGTTCAATACTTCCCGGTTACCAATGGTGGATAAGCTACGTTCATTTAGCGATTTACACTGATGAGATTTTTAGAATCTCAACTGTTAAGCACTTTTACAGTATTTATACAAAATATCTGGAAGCTTTGAAACGAGAAACTCATACACAAAATATTGTGCATCAACAAGTTTGACAGCAATTGTTAAGGTTAGCTTATAAAAGGAAAGTCCCGATATCTTCAATTTTCTGTGTTTTCTAAAAAATTTCGCGATTTTGATTTGCATATAGGATTTTTGATAAACAGTCAGAAAATTGTAGCCTATATCATGCCATTTAACCTTTAATGTTGATCAAAGTCTGTTGGACAAGGTCTGATTTTTTCCAACACGAAAAGTTACACTATGTTGTGATGAAGTATGTTTCATATGACTAAGATATATTTCAGTCTCATAGAAGAGCAGTTCTGACTGTAAAGCAATATCAGAAGACCTTTGAATGTGGACCTGAATATAATGAATTATTAGCTAATAGATAACATCAGTTAAGCGAAAATTGCAGATGTTAACTACTGGTGACTTCTGTTTCATACAAAGCTTCGACTGATTCTGAACTCTCATCCCGCTTATGAACACCAAGACCTATTAAATTATGTTTCAAAGTCTGACTTTGATTTTTTATTATTTTTCATCACTAACAAGATTTTATGATATGACAACAAATGGTGACACTTATAACTACTATGTGATATATCTAACGTGAACATTATTTCATTTGTAGTGCGAGTTTGTGCTGTTTGAGTAGGATGAATAAGGATAAAACAAAAGTATGCTATGAAATATCCCTGAGATTCTTGAAGCGTTTAAGTTTTCTTCGATCATTTATTTTAAGCGATTGATATTAACGTCATTTATTTTGTCATTTTAGTGTTCAACATAGCGTATGTGTTTGAAACACTTCTATGAATAACTAGATTCCCTAGGTTTGTTATTTTTATGGAACAAACTGCTTATCTAAAGAGAGATTCACTAACAAAATTATAATTATGAAGGTAAACAGATTTAAGATTCATCATGAAAATGCCAGCTGCGTTCATGTGTCAGGACGAAGATTGAAGAAATGGTACCTTCTATAACATATTTATTGATTATCATTATTATACATACTTTCATAGCACTCTCACCTATAATTGAGTTTGTACGCGTTTAGATTTATTAAAACCTTTAGGTAACTTATTCAATAGACAAAATTATTTGTGTATATGACAATTTACTTATGTCTTCACTCTATTAGCCTCATACACCTATGATCGTGTATACAAGATCACGTATTTCAACCTACACAAATACTCCACTTTCTAGTTTAAACGTTAGTTTCTTAAAACGCTCGATGACTCATTTGCTTGCTTGTTGCGTGTGCTTCTTAAATCCCATCTGTCTGTCTATTCCCAGTCATTCGCAATCACATTTTTGTTCGTATCGGCTTTATGTGTTTGATAGCTTCGGGATCTGAGCAGTACAGTAATAAACTGTTTTTTGAAACTTATAGCGTCAGAAGTTATCTAATGACGGTTACCAGGATGATTGATATATGAGGCGTAGGAATTAATTCAAAAAATCCTTTATAACCTAATAATTGGATTACTATGTACCTATGTTCTGTTCATGACGAGCTTTCGCTTAACCCTATTCATAGTCAATTTTAGCTTATTTTATGTACAATTGGGATTTTTCGATTTATAGTGTGATGCGGTCCAGTATAATTGTATATAAACCTGTGTTCTTGAAATATAATATAATAAAAGTGAGCTATTGAATTCTCATTGGTCTCAAGGCAAAAGATAGAAGAAAGCTTGAGGATAACTTATCAATAGGAGCCTAGCTTGAGTCTGCTCAAGTGTGAAGGCCAGACGTATGATTGGTCAATTTCGAAAGACAGCTAGAAATTATCATCAGAATTCCGACTGGTAAATTTGCCACCTGATATTTAGCGTCGCAAGTCACAAGGGTGGGGAGAGTCCACTCTTCCTCTCCAAATGCTCTCACATAGTCACGTGTATGCAGCTACTGCCATGTGAGTCCTACACACTGACTTCTCGAGGCATTACTGTTGATTACGAAATTAAGAGGACGAATAGAAAATGTCCGGCACTTTACCCGGGTTGGTTGATAGGGAGGATCCACCAAGAGGAGTTGAAAAACCCCAGTTCCAAACCAATAGTGCATATAGGGTCCAGTATCTTGAAGGAACAAATGGCGTATGAACCAATTTCGGTCACCGGCTGCCATGGGACTAAATCTCCTTGCGATGCTCCACTGCCTTGTAGAGTAGACCTTTAGGTCAAAGGCTCCTGGGCACCCGGACAGTATTACAGCGCACACACAAATCAAGTGACTTGCGTGGTACACATGTATTCGGTGCCCCCTTGTACCAGTATTTATGTGTTCAAATAAATCAACAAATAAATAACACTTCTTCAGATAACAACAACATCTGGACGTATTATGTCAAATTGATTTGTCAGTTCTAAGTCAAATCGTAAGGATGTCATTAACAAATAGACTTCATTGCTTGAAACTACTTAAAAGTAGTAAATATGAAATTATCATATATAATTTGGTCTGCAATTGTTTTTATCTGTTATTTTTCGAAGTTCAAAAGATGATGAAAGTGTTGAGATGTATGCTACTGATGTTAAAAAAATATAAAGTAATATGTAATACTAATCGAAAGTGGAATGTATGTCA